GCGGCCCTGCTCTGAGCTCGACCAGGGGCTGCACCTAGGGATTGGGCCTGCCCTCTGCCACCCGGGAGCAGGCCTAAGCCAGCAGGGCGTTATCTCTCCCGAGGGGTCCCGGACTGCGAGAGGGCACAGGCCAGGCTGAGGGACCCCCTCTTCCCCCCAGTGCATAAATTTTTGTGCACCAGGCCTCTAGTTATATATATAAAAGGCTAATATCCTAAGTCTCCGACCGTCCAACTGGTTGCTATGATGTGCACTGACCACCATGGGGCAGATGCTCAACACAGGAGCTGCCAAGTTGCAGTGACTTGGCAGCAGCAGTTCTAAGGTGATGCACCCCAGAAGCAGAGAGGAGGGGGCCTGATTTCTTGCAGGGTCATGGGATTCCACCTTTGGCTGTGGGTTATGTTACTGGGGCACTGTCGCCCAAATCTGGTTTACTGCACACTTACGTTTGCATTCCACACCTTGTACCACAGCAACTTTGCAGCGTGCCCTCTAGCACTCCGGGCCCCTTTGGGGGATGTTGGAGAGCCAGTTTCGGCCTGATCCCCGCAGGCCAGGCCAAGGGACCTCACCTGCTGGAGGGACCCCGCTCACTCCGCAGACACCAGGGAGGGACCAAGGGAGGTTGGCTCCAGGGCGTGTCTGGCCCATCTTGCCCAGTCCATCTAATTAATTTCCTTTCAATGTGCATGAATCCATGCACTGGGTCACTAGTCCTAAATAAAGATAAGGCAAAAACAGGAAGTAGGAGAACTGGCTTACGACCCCTACCATCCTGGCCCTTTGGCCACTTGGAGAACAGGTATTATTATTATTATTACTGCCTTTTCTCTAAAGACAAGGCAGTCCAGATCCTCACTTAACTCTTCATTCATATTTAAAGCAAACTTGGGAGTTTATTATTCCCAAGATAAATTCTATATATCTAAGAGAATTGGGAGATAAACCATCTATTCCTGGGTAGCTGAGAAAAAAAATTACTCTAATATTCGGAAGTATTGACAAATAATCATGCTCAATTCAATAGCAACTTTAATTATTAAAACAGATGGATCTATCTTAGTATTCA